TCCTTAACTACTAGCTGAAGCCACTTAGAAAGTCTAGAGCAGCCAGAAATGTGTCTTCACCTTATTCACTTCTTCTCCTGCCAGGCCACAGCTGCAAGACTCCACCTACGAGAACTTTGACCGCAGACACGGTGGCAGCCAGACTTTGCCGACAGAAAGAACAGCATCGAGATGCAGTTAAGGACCTGGGCGGTCTCACCTGCACCCGCTTGCATGGTTTAAATTCCCATCTGTTCTGTACAAGGGTGCCTTTTCCCAGCGAACATGGACACTGACTGATGCACAGAAAGTCAAACAGGCCTTGCAAGTGTATGACTTCCAGCCCTGCTGCTTCTTACAATCAAGAGAAGCCCTTAATGGGAAAATAGAAGAAAGAAAAAGAGAGAACAAAGAGGGATGGAGCTAGAAGAGCAGGAGAAGATCTACACAGGATGTCAGTTTTAACCAAACTGTGTGTTTTTGCCCTTATCAGACAGTGTTCAGCAAGCAGATAACAGTCTAACATTTTCTCACGTCTTTTTTGCTTTGGCATTTTTCAAATGTTAGTTCAAAAAGCAGTTTTCACCACTCCACTCATCAAACCACATGCAGCTTCCTAGAGCCAGCAAGTGAACTATTTTCATGTTTCAAATACCAGCTGTGAAAAAAACACTACTGGAATTTCTGCTTAGTATTATTATTATTATTATTATTTCTTAACTTCCAGAAGAGTTTATTTAAGAGTTTATAGGAAATCTTAACTTTCAAGAGGAGTACAAACAAAAAGGAAAAGAGGTTTTCCAAAAGCTGGTAGAGCTGAAAGCAAGACATGCAAAGAGTGCTCTGTATTGTAACTCTACTGCAGTTCCTGGTGCCCATGTGCACACACAAGCAGAATCTGAGTTTTGTGATGAATATGCTCTGAAGTGTTCCGACAAACCAAACTGGTTTTAAAAAAAAAAAAAAGCCAAAGAAAATTATTTCTAAACAGCTTTCACCTCTGTGTTGCATGAAAAACTTTCCTTAAGGCCTGACTATTCATCTCAAATTCTTCTGAGATGAAGTCACTACTACAAAGCCACTGGCCATCTACAGACAAGTCTCTAACCCAACTGTGAACATGCTCCAAGACCAGGTAGATAGACCTAGCTTATGGTAAAGGATGACACAAGTCAGCCTGGAGCTTTGGTCATGCAAAGGTCCAGGAAAGGGCTGTGAAGAGCAATAGGTTGGTATAGAGGAGGAGAAGAAAGAATGAGAAGAGAAGTAGACACAAGAACCTACTTTCATGTTTGTATGACTGGATTCAATGCTCTGTGCAATCATTCCAGTACAGCAGCTCCAAAACTCTTCCCGTAACGATCCCATTTCTGGTAACAACCATTGCTGGCCGTGAGCCTAAGCTGCTACTGAATTACCATCAAGTCTGTGGTCCAGCTTGCAAGCTCACCCCTAGCTTGGGAATTATTATTTTAAAGTTCACCTCTTCATAACATCTGCACTGGGAAAGTAAAGCAGAACTTTAAATGACTTGGCCAGGATAACAAGGCAGGGGGGGAATAAAGGAAAAAAATGCAAGGAAGTACTTGAACCTGATCTTTTAAATCCCAGTTTAAAACCCCAGCAGTGGTAAAGCCAGGTTTATTAAAAATAGGAAGAGATCCCCAGTGAAAAAGGAAGTAAGAGCAGACAGTATAGTCATGGATCAGTAAGCTCAGTTTCACAGGATGAAAGAGACCTCAGAGATATTAATTGGACAAATTGAACTGAATTTCTAAGTCCATATTATTTACAGACATATATTAGAGTAATGAGAACCCGTTTCTAACCGCTTATGGAATTGAGGCTTGGCTTACAGGATTTTTCTCTTGAAAACCACTTCTTTAAGTAGCTTGGGTCCAAATAGAAGCATCAGACCTGGTCCCCAAAACCACCTGGGATGCACCGAATGTGCCCTGGTGCATGATGCCAGCACTCTATACTCGGAGTGCTGCCAGCAAATGCATGCCATGAAATTGCTGCAGCAATTTCTATGTGAGGAAACTCATGGATGTGCACTGTTTGACTTCTACTTACTTGGCTTCCAGAGCACGGCCCATTAGTGCAGCAAATGGAAGAACAAGGACCTCCAGGTACAGGAATCCACCACACCCCTGAACACATGGAAAGGCACAGAAATGAGTTTGCCCAAATCCTGCCCCTCTCCCCAGTGAGGGACCTCTTTAATCCATCCAAACCCCTGTAAGATTGGTCTTCAATGGGAAGAGTCTGCTCTCAACATTTCCCTCTTGCTACCTGCCATTTCGTCTTTTGGAAAGCAAAAGGTGTGGGGTGATGTGCAGAGGAGAGACCTCACAATCAACAAACTGGAGTGGAAGGAGCTCACTTCAGTGTACATTCACAATAAAGAAGTGCCTACAGGACAGGGTTGTGGGGAAAGCTCTCATACCTTTTCTCTGAAATCAGCACAACCAGGTGCCTCTCAATTCCTCCTGCTTGTTCCCTCACTTAAGAGGTCCATGTGCAGTTGCAGGGCTACAGTCTCCCTGGGATAACGGTGATGCTGTGGGACAACTCACAAGCCTGGAGTCCTGCTGTGGATGGCTACAGCCTCTGAGAAAAGACAAGCTGGAACAGCAAGGATGAGATGTCCCTTATGTGAGAGTGCAGGGGGAACGCACAGGACACTGACCAGGGGTGGATGATGAACCAGCTGAGAGTTTACAAGTCAGCATTAGCAGGCCAACAGACACAGGTGACGGTGTGGTGGGTGTCCAGTGTTTGCTGACAGCAGTGACCCCAGCCTGGTCCAGCTCTGCCCACCAGCAAAGCCCTCAACAAGAATGTTGCACCATCAGTACTAGAGGAATCATTTTCTCCTAACTTCCTTCACACTACCAGCTTTCCTCTCATTCGGGATAAATTCCAAACTCCACAGTCCGGGTTCACTTGTGAGTGCTGAAAGAACAGAACCATTGCATCACCCTACGGTCATATTACCACAGAGATTAGGGGGATTTTGCCAGGACAGAGAAGCCATTAAACAGATGAGCTTTCTCCTGGGCTCTGTACACAAAAACAGGCTGTTGTGTCACACACAAAGTCCAGGATGACAAAAAAAGAAGAGTCTCTAGACATCCGTCAACTGAGCAACCCCAACACACTTTCCTCTCTAAGAACAATTATGTATTACCTGATGTCGATTCTTCCAGAAAGTTGAAAATATCATGGTGTTTGTCACAAATTACTTGACTTTTCGTTTTTATTTTGCATGGTCTTTGCAGACTTAGTATGTCATAAATACAACATTTGTAAAAACTCAACAGCTGAAACAATACCTCTTTTTAAAAGTGCATGTCAAACATATATTTCTGACTTTTTCACATTTTTATGCAACTGACCAATAACATTGAATCTAATAAAACCAGTGCTTTTAAGTCTTTGGGGAGGGAAAAGCAGCAGAATGTATTCTTCCAGACACATATTTTCCAAAAGAGTCTGTTAAAAAACATGCTGCATTGATACCCGGTTAATATAAAGAGGGATGTACATATGTATATATATGTATATATATTTATAGGCTCGCAGATAGAGCAGAGAACTGTAAGACCACATTAAGATGAAGGTGATCTAATGACCCAGCTCGCAGAGCTAGCAGAATCTGTCAAGAAGAAAAAGGTGATTTGTTCTCCAGCACCAGAATCACAGTTAAGAGCAACCCTTCAAAGCATTATTGACCGGACAGTAGGTAGCACATTTCCTTCCCCTAGTGACCAGAACTACGTTTTAATGTGTAACTATGTTATAAACATAAAGGCACAATTAATGGAGGAAGAGACCTAGTGATCATTGTTCCTTCAGAGGTGTACGGATCGGGACTGCAGGACCTCAGGCCACCTCAAACATATCAGTGATAAATGCGACATTAGACAAGCAACTGGGGAAACACACCTTCTGCTTTCCCTGAACAAAAGTGCATCCTATGATCAGACAAGGCAACAAAACCAGTAATCATTCAGCTGAAACAATAGATTTACAGGCTCATGGTTTATGCTTTGGCAACAGAATTTTAACAAGTTATCACCAAATTTAATACAAAAACAAAATACCTTTTCACAGTGTCATCTAAAATCCTGTCACGTCATGCCCAGCTAGGTAGAAAAGAACAAACTTAAGTGGCGGGTGTCCACTTGTTAAAATCAGTATTTCCTAAATAACCAGACTTTCAGAATTAACGAATCCTATCTAATATGAACATAACTAACTCTTCTGCTCCCAGACATCGTGGATCCAGAAAATCCATCTCTGGATTTAAATCACCTGACTTAAAGAGAACTTGACTAGAAATTACTTGCATTTAATTAAGCAATATGAATGCAGACTCAATAATATTCAGAAAATGGGAAAAGCCAAAGTTCTTTAGTTCAAATTTTAGTTTGTATTTACAGAAGTGGGAGAAGATTGTAGGCATGCTCTTCAACTACAGATTTCTGTAGAATAGCAAAAAAAAAAAAAAAAAAAAAGTCAAAATTTAGAATACTATCTTTCCAAATACAGGGATTTCACAAGTCTCCAGACACACACTCACATAAGATTCAGCAGTATCCTGGTTAAGAAAGTCAAAATCTCTTCTATACACAATCTGCCTCTCACTTCGAACTGGCCTGAGTGATGACATGTCGGAAAATAAAAAAGGCACAAAGCAAAAACTTAAGATGCTACAGAATGAGCTTTGCTGTCTAATGATTTGTACACCTATACTCAGGTATCCTCCTCTCAGACGTACACCATACACAGGAAGATATTCAAGTGTCTTCAGCTAACAAAACCCAAGCAATTCTACAGGCCTACAAATCAAAACAAAAGAAAGAAAACCTTAAGGAGCAGAACACTTGCCAGTGTGCAGTTCCCATTCACACTTCTGACTTAAAGTGGAATTCTGAGGGTAAAAATTACTTGTGCAATAACAACATCATATGTAAACCAGAGTAATCAACATTGCATGATTATTCTTTCGGCTCAGTGCTGCTATCGTATGCTGTCCAAATAATGCACTTCTGGGTACAGAGTGTTAATAAGGAGAGCTAAGAGATTATTGCCATCTCGAAGACAATGTTCTGGATGCTTGATGAATTGAGAAGCCTGGGAGAGCTGCTCTTGATAATCCATATATTGTTTGTTTGATGTCATAGATTCAAGAACATTCAGTGCCTACAGATACAAGGGAAAATTCTGTTAGCGGTGTGTACTTTGGTCCATAACAAACCAGTTCATGAGCCAGTTCATATGCACAATTCCACTAGAAGATCCTTATCTACTAGAGAACCCAGAGTATTTGGAACAAAACATTTGTAAAATACAATCACATAACACTGTCTCAAGTCAACTCATATTTTTCAAGCTGTTCTCTCTCCCCGCAAGATCGACACAACAACTGTTCTATCAAGGCTTGCTAGGATTCTGTAACCCAAATATTGTCAAATATTTACTTCATGAACTCAAGACATGTTTGTAAGGATATTACACTGACCTATAAACTGCAACATACCTAACTATTCACTTCAGGTTGTTCTTATGAACATCTTGACTCATAAAAATATTGGTTTGCTCCCGTTAATAATATTAAAGACAAAGTCAAGATAGAAATTATACGTAGAAGAGCCTATGCTGGCAGTACCAGCCAGGGCAAATGTTGGCAATATGTCTGAACAAGTTTCATCCATTTCTTAGAGAAGAGAAACAAGTTGTACCAAGTAAGTTACTTTGCTTTGGTTTCTAATCAACTCCTCCTTCCTCCTCTCATGCACTTACTGAAACAACATGGCCAGGGCATATGCAAAAGAAGGAATGCTAATTTGTCACAGGGCTTTTAAGCCCTAATCTCACGTAAATAAATGTTAGTGTGACTGTAACCCTGCTTTATCACTGAAAGGCAGTGCAATCACAGCAGCTTTATTTTTTCCTCTCTGCTTTAAATTCCTTCTGCCAGCTATGTACCAAAGTTTCTGAACTCAGGGTTTACAGACCTAAGTCCATCTGCACCTTTTCAGCGTGTAAGGTCAGAAACTGATGTCTTCATATTAATACAGAACACTGTATAAACAGTTTTACCCAGGATTACTTTAGGTTAAGGCTCAGACACACAGTCCTGCTACCAGAGTTCAGTAAACTTGCATCATCACCTGGCCTATGCTGTACTTGGCCTTGTCTCTGGCAAATTCCAAGATGGTGTTTCGATGTCTAGCAAAACAGTACACAAGTTTGTGATACACTCCCTTACCTGAGAAGACATATGAAAGCAATAAGCTATTTCTGAAATTCAGAATTTAGAGCCAGGTGTAAACCAGCAGCAAAAAAAGATTGAGGAAATTCAGCACCAAATAAAATCAACAAGTTGAAAACAGGATTTAGCCTGAAGAAATGTTTGCAGAGACTCTTATAAGCTTCACCCCACAAGCTGAGCAAGCACGCAAAGAGGGCACACCAAGCCGCCAGCAATTGGTACATTTACCTGCTGAGCCTTCTGCGACAGCTTTGGCTCTGACCCTGCTTTCAGGCGGACTTGACTCTCTGCAGGAATCTGCACCAAGAGGAAGGCAGACAAACTGCGGGCAACCACCCGAAACCTTGCATAGGGAAAAGGACAGAGAGAGAAGGTGCTATCAAATTTGCAAGTCCTCAAAAGCAGATAAACTGGAAGTTCTATCCCATGAGATCTTTCTTGCATAAGGAACATAGTAAAGGCTTTAGAGGACCTTTTTCAATGCATTAGAAAAAAGTAAATCACTTTAATGTGTACATAATAGGATATCATACATACTAGATGATACTATAATACCACACATATGAAACACTACATCTGTTCCAAGCTTAGCTTGAACATCTGAAGGTCATGAGGTCACATCTGAAATACTCCTTCACTTCACAGCCTTTGAAACATTCTTAGCACCTGAATCAAAGGACGAGCTGAACAAGACTAAGATTTCAGAGCAATTTCAACAGGATTGCATCCCAGAAGGTCTTTATAAACACAAAGTTAGGTAATGTGTTGAACTGGTGTTCCACAAACATTTACATATTTTTTCTTTGCATTCTTTCCACAATGAATTTGATTTTAATACCTAACATCTAAACTCGGTGTCTCTCTTTAGAAGATAAAATGAGTAATAAGCAAGCACATGCTACTTTGAGCTTCTCTTAACATTTCCAACATCTAAAGTTTAAGGTGGACAAGGCAATGTGCATGTGATCACACAAAATTCTTGCGAGCTCAACTGGAACAGTTTTCTACAGACCAGGTGAAAGTTTCTACAGACCAGATAGTATCTCTAACAAACTGACTCCCTACAAACTTCGCTGGAGATCAACATTAAGCCAGAATCACAACTGCATTTTCTTTCCTTTTCCACCACAAACTTCACAGAAGTTCATATTCACTTCTTAACCAGATTAAAACACTCACTACATTTTTCCTGTGGCGGGCCCAAACAACTTTATAGATTTGGAGACAGCATGGATTCAGAACATCTTTTGACATTGCACTATGCAGTCTCAATTCAGGTTGCAGCTTTTTTAACATGATGACTCAAATCAATTAATTTGTCTCACCTTCAACCCTTACCTGGGTGACAAAGGAGACCTCCTGCCTAGTCCAATAGCACCAAGTATTCCAGAAGTCAGTCTCTCTTCAGCCAGCTGACTCTGCCTGCCCTGGATTGACAGCAGTGTCCGAATGACAGATTCGATCAGAATGGTGTCATCTTGCTCCATCTGAATCAAGGATAACTGCATGGCTTTATGCCACCAAAGAAACAGCTTTGCCTCTTCCTTTGCTGAGCTTTAGGTAACATTTACAGAATAAAATAAAATAGAAATAAATAAAATAAAATTAGTCAGATGCATAGGTTAAGAAGCTTAGATCTCTCCCCATTAGGCCCATGAAGAATTCAGATGGTTAACTACTGACAGCTAATCTTACTATATGAGCATAGCATAACTATACTACCCCACCAGTTATTATACTGTTGCAACTGCTATTGTTATGGATTTGACACAGACATCAGCTAGTAGATTTTAAGAGGCTGTAAGAAGACAAAGAACAATGCTTCCTTTTAAGCTTTACAACTCAGAATCAATGATATTGCAGCCATAAGTGGATTAAAACTTAAAACTTGGTATAAAAAGGAATGAAGCTGTATCTCTACTCTTTTTTTTTTCTTTACTCACCAATAAAACACTTTAGGAAGCACTAACTGTTGTTTTCACAACAATTTAGACTTTCAAAATTATCTTCTAGAAAAGGAAACTTTGTAGTTTTTTGTTGAGCAAAGCACAAAGTGAAGTTCCCCCTATGATATTTTTGATCCTTCTCCAAACAGTTTGCACTTTAAGTTAATAAGTTCAGATTTTCCACATAAAGCATCAGCATGAGTTTCCTGCATCAGAATATCCTCACATTACTCCACCCAGTCACTTCCCATCCCAGGCACACTCAGCTTTGAGGTTTACAGCAAGGTTTAATTTGCTCTGCACGGTGGCTTTACTGTCTCCTTCACACTTTGGCAATCAAGTCACTATGGTATCTACAACAGTGAAAGTGTTCTTTGAATTTCAAGAAACAGTAGGAACGTACATTTTCCCAAAATGTTCTTTCACAGCAAATACGAACATTAATATGAAAAAATATTCACCACATTCGCTAAATCCTGGCAATTTCAGCAGCAACTGTAAATACAGTTGTTACATACTTTGTACTTAAAAGTACAATCATTTTAACCCCAAAGCCATCCATCCTTTCCCCCCAGAACTTTTTTATATAGCAAGTTGTTTTACAGTGATACAGGCCCCTAACTCTGGGCACCCCACCAGCTCCACTGGGTTTAGATTTGGTTCAGAGCTGCTGAACTGTCCCCACTGAGCAGCTCTGAACACCAGATCTTCCAGAGTGTTTAGCACATAACTCATCCCACCTAGTGGACATTCTGCAAAGTGGAACCCACAGTGATTTAGAGTTTACTTAAAGTAATTTTAACTGAGCACAAATCCAGGCTGCCATTGAAATCAAGCTTCTCTGACTGAAAACTGACCAAAACTGCACCAGAAGTGTTCAAGTAAATAAATTCCTTCTTCTGCTTAACCACAACAACTATTAGTGTTGGCACTGTAGTTGGACAGACTTTGTAATAGTCAATACAGAAGGACTGGCCATTTCATCCAGCAGCCTGGTCAAATAAGCCTAATTAACCTAGCCAACTAATTATACCAGCTATACAACTATAGCCTTATTTAAAAGTCAAGGCATATTCAGAAGCATTGAGTTGCCTACCTTGGGTACACTTGCTCCAGCCATTTGCTGATGGTTAGCAGCATTTTCATTTCATTGGTAAGAGTTTGGTCAGAGTTCAGACATTGCAGCAGGTAGACATATAGGGTCAAGTAGCTTCCTAAAGACAGACACTCCTGCAGGAATTCTTCCATGGTTAGCTCAGGAACTTGGAGGGAGGCAAGTATAGGGCCCCAGCCTAAATCCTGGTGGTGAGGACAATCTATAAAGAAAACAAAAGGACAGAACAAAGACTGTGTGAGAAAGCAGCATGGAGTAAAACCTAAGAACTAGAACTACTTCACTGTGTTCCCCTAAGTTACAGAATTTGGGCAGGTTTAGCTGTTTTCCAGGTAATCAGTTTGTCACACAACTTTAACAAAGAGAAAAGAAAAATTCCACTATTGTAGGGCACCTGCTCGCTGTCAAGGAGAGATATATTTTCCCAGCGTTCAGTAAGGATGAAATTTGAAAATTTTAGCAATGGAATTTTAAATATTTCTTTCAGGTGTACTGAAATCAAATCACACAGAATGTGGAAGAAATAAAAATGTAGTTCCACAAGGATTATGTAAACAGAAAGAAAAAAAAAACAAACCACACCAAAGAATTTCAAAGTTTTACCAATGAAGAGTATTTTGTTCTTAAACTAGCCTGCAGAACACTAGAGGAGGGAATAAATACCTGTTTCATTCTCTTAGGATGTTTTGTGTGTGTGTATGTGTGTGTTTGGTTTTGTTTGGTTTTTGGTTTGTTTTTTTTTTTCCTTTTCCCCCCCAGAGTCCTCTGCTTTAGCTGGAAAAAGTGGCAAGCATTACAACCAGAGCAAATTGGTTTTCACAGAGACAGATACAGTTCTTAAGAAAATACACAGCTAGAGCAGTTGAAAAACCCAAACCACAATGGCCCAAGTTTTCTACATCTAGTTACTACAGCACATATATGTGTGACAATTGGGAGCCATCAGATGCAAAGAAAGGAGCTTTGATTACGGAAATCAGATTAAAACCCAGTTCCAGTAATGGACAGCACAAAGCAACACGGATTCCATACGATTTGTATTTAATGGGCATCCAAGATTAATCACAGTTTGAGACAAGCAGAAGACTGGCTCCTACCTTCGTTGAAGTAAGCAGTGATACAGGCTTCTGTCGTTTCTGCCATGTGTCGCACAGAGGCCAGGCTCTGACACGCTGCTGTGAGAAGGGGCATTGCTAGCAGTCCACGCATTTTGCTGTCAATCCACTTTCGTAAGCTCCCCCGTAGCGACTCGGCTGTTGCAACGCTAGAATTGTTCATCATCATCAGTGTTTCTGTAAAGAGACTGCTGAGGGCCATATGACGTGTTTGCAGATCCATATCTGAAAGTCAAAAACAAGAGAATCGTTTCAGTAAATAGATACTAGAACCCAAATTCAACTTCACCACTGATCACTTACGGTAGATACTGGGAAAGGTCTCTTGCTTGTTACACACCTCAATTCCTTGTCTGTATTTATGAAACTGCAGTAAGACACCCATTCCTCACAGTCTCTTCCCTTGGTGAGATAGTTCATCACTCATTAAACAGAGAGACTCATGAGACTGTACAGCAGAGTACACTGGAGTCCATCTTTTACCCAGGTTGCTTTACCATGACTACAGTGCAGATAAATTGAATGATAAAGCATGTTTACAGTCTCCAAGAAAACTTGGACATTAAAACACAGTTTAAATAACAATTTAGAGTGAAATAATCAAGACTTTAGACTGTTCAATTTGAAATATGACCGAGATGAGCCCTGAAATGTTGCAAGCCCCTCATGCATTTCCAGGATTCTATATTTCTTGCTAATCCCAAGTGTTCAGCCTCAGAACACTTTTTTTTTTTAAACCATCTCTTTGCATTGCCTGAACATGTTATCACGGCCCACCTGTAACAGTACCCTCAAAGTACAAACATTTCCTGTGCTTGGCTCTTAAAAGCCTAACTACAGAGTAGACCTTTGCACATATGGATTAAAAAAGCCACTGTTGTTACAAAAGAAAATTTTCAAGTAACATCAGGCATCGTAGAAGGAAAAATTTCAACTGGTTATGAAGAAAAGTTGTGCACAAAGATGGATTAATCACTGAAAAAACATTGCCTAAAGAGACTGAGACCTCCACACTTGCAGGTATTTGGAAGCTCACTGGAGAAGGCCCTGAATGACCTGATCTAACTTTGAAACTAGTTCTGGTTTGAGGTAGAGGTTGGACTACATGCCTCCAACGGTCCCTTCCAAGCTATTCTGTCTGTATCTACCTACTAAGAAAAAAAAAAAAGTCCCAAGTCATCTGCCAAGTCATCTGTCATGGCACAGCTCTCCAGTAAGGCAAACATCTCTTATTACAGACCAACTGAGAAAGATGATTCCAGGAGGTTAATCAACTTGTCTAAGGTCACAACTAGTTCTACAGCCAAGTCCCACTCCACAGGCTGCAGACCAGCGAGCAGAACCACCACCAGACACCTGACATCAGGGTCCACCCCATCCCCTGGGACAAACCCTAGCATAAGGCCCATATGAGATGTCCAGCTTTCTCCTCTCCAGCACTTGTCAACAGAAGGTGCTGCCCCAGACACTCTTCCAAAAACTTCTCCCAGCCTCCTCCAAACCTCAGAGAGAAGCTAAACCCAATACACACCACCACTTTCCTGCCACTCCACATCAGTGATCCTCCTGCACTCCAGAGTCTGGCTGAGCAACACAGAACATTCTCCCTTGCAGCCCTTTAACACATACAAGCACGCACAGGGAGTTCATGGAACAGAGCTGTTCCTCTTACGCTGGAGCTCCTGTCTCCTCCAAAATTTCTCAGCTACAAGGAGTGTCAGCAGCAACAGGCAAGCCTTCACACCTCTTCAAGACACAAAGAGTTTTACTGTCGATGAGGCTGTCCTACAGAGCTTCCCCAAGTAGCAATACAAGTACTGAGAGACATTATCACTCTCATGGATTTTTCAGACACTTCCTGTTCACATTCACTCTTGATAGCACACCTGTGTGGGTCATGGACAAGAAGAGACACGACCTCTGACAAGTATTTCTGTGTACTACAGTGAGATGACTGATTTTACCTGAAGTTTTAGTTTGATAGAGGAAGCTCAGGATGGTACTAGTACTAAAAATGAGATCAACATAAATGTTGTGGGTGTGGACACACCGCACTACTAGTTTACATCAATATAATTCCCTACTTCAATATAGTCAGTTTTCCCCAATCACATAACAGTTCAGAACCCTTTTTTAGAATCTGATCCCTCAGGACCAAGACACTGTATTTGTATCACCCCTCCTTTTTTTTAAAAAAAAAAAAAAAAAAAAAAGATGCAAATGCCAAAAAGAATCCCTCAAGCTGCTGTATATTGGTCAGTTTTACTAACAACATGACCCCTGTCTTTTCTGTTTGTTCTGTCACTCTTGACAGCTCTACAAGGTAACGTTCATGTTTTTGTTTTGTTCTAATACACCACCTATACATACACATCACCAAAGCAACATGCCTGCTGTCCATAAGGCAGATATTATAGTAATACAAGTAATTACATAGTCACAGATGTTCAACAATCCATGCAGTAGAATAAAGAATCCTCAGAACTTTAAAGTAATTTGCCACTTCTTAAACACAAACCTGGAGGATTAAAGATGACTACATCATCTAGCAACTTGGACATTTCTTGTTCCAAAACTGCAAAAGTAATCTTTCCGCTTTGTTCTAAGGTGCTGAGAAATTGAACCACCTGGCGAATGTATGCTCGGCACTTCAGTGTTGCATCCTGTTAATCAAAATTAAAATCAATTAAAAAAAAAAATTGTGCCTAGAACTCCTTCCACACTCCATAACATACAAAAGTAGAGCACTGCAAATTAAGAACAGCTCAGAGACACTGCAAAAACAGTTCAACTTACAAGGTGGATGTGACTATCCGAAGATGCACCAAAGCCTGCTGAGATTTTCAGAAGCTTCACTATCAGTTCAGCTGCAGCATCCTTAGCAAGGATAACAGAGGGAGGGTAGTGACTGCTGCAGTAGCTGATGATGCTTTGATAAGATGAAATGCCCACAAGCTGCCAAGGAAGGGAGCTGGTCTGTCCAAGAAGATTTATAAGTGGCGACTCCTGAAGATTTAAAGACATCAGTCTAAGCTCCACCTTCTTTGCTGTTTTAAATTAATATTCACAGTAGTCAATATTGGAAGGAAGCCCAGATTCCAAAATGTGGAGGAGAAGGAGCAAAACCCCCACAAAAAAAGATGACGACTGGGAGTCTGGCTGAAAAAGCAATTCCTCATTCAAACAGCAAGCCAACATATGTATGTCACCTCTATCATTCACATAACAGTACTCAGACTGCTGCAGCAGCTCTAACCAAGCACAAAAGTCAGTGAGAGACATTAAAATCTGACATGTAAACACGTAAAGATAGCTAGAAAGAAACAGAGACCCTACAAGGTAGAGTCACTTCAGTAGAGATTTAAAAAAGGCATTTAAAAAAGTTATTTAAAAAAAATAAATCTAAGTTCACAGTACAACAAAAGATAGAAGCCAAGTCCCTCAATTTTCCTTTCAGTGAATCGCCTATCAAAAGGGCCCCCCCAGACGCTGAGAAAAACCAAATTTCTCCACGTTATAGAATGGATGAATACTGGAATACTGATGACAGTCGGTGCAACCTAAATACTATAAGGATCCTAATTAGACTACATCAACAAGAACGTGACACTGGTACATCAAGTACTTCAAGTTGTTCATGCACTGGTACATGGGGATGAGAAAGTTTGAGATTTAGGTCAAGGTGTCACAGGAGCATTCTGGGAGGTAAAAAAAAATGATCGAGGGAACGTAAGTTTAACACATTGCTGGAGGCTAGGCAGGAATTCCTAAGACTGACTCATGCAATGTACAAACAGGTATCTTTTGAAGCTTGAGAAGCTTCTGATAAGCAAATATATTCAGGTCAAAGCATGAAAACTCCAGTAATTTTCCTAAACTAGAATACAGTGTTGATCAAAGGCTCCTGGTGGCATCCTGACACAGTATCTCGTAATGCGTCAGAGGAAATGGAAAACAGAAGATGCCGCAAATGGGAGAAAGCTGGCAGGCGTGAAATGGGACTTCTTGAAGATTACCCAGTCCCTCTGGAAGAGTCCTCCAGAAGCAACGGACTGAATGAGACTGTGCTGGAT